TCTTCCAAGTATTTAAGTCATCTAGATTTCTTTGTTATCGCCAGTGATGCCAAACCTAGGCATCCTTCTTGATTCTAATGCTTTCCCTGCTGTCTTTGTTTCAAAGTTTGTAGTTTGTTCAAAATGTTCTGTTTACTTCTGGAAAGTCCTGTGTTTGTACACTTTTATTTCAATTTTAATCTTGCTTTTTGTGAAAAAGTGTGCTTAATTGTTTTCAACATTGGGATTTTTTTTTAATATGAAATATTTGTATATGTCTCTGACTCTGAAAACAATGAGTAAGTTTTGCATTTTTTCAATTCTGATTTCAGTTAAAATTGTTTAAGTAATTTCAACTGCTTTGTTGGACTTCGAATTTTTACTTATGCTGCATCGAGCAAGATTTTCGGGTGAACTGTTATAATTAAATGCTTTAGAATGGTTCATCAGCTAATTTTGGATTCAGAAACGGGGGTTTTCAAGTGGAACGGGGATTGTAATTGACTAATGTATCCTGTTCTTATCTCAAATCTGTTATATCAGATTTGAATAAAATTCCTCCTCTTCTCTATTTTGCTAGTTTTTGTAATTTTTACTGTTTAGTATTTCACATTTCTTTAATTCTTATTTTACATATTTATATGGTATTTTGAAATTTATTGGCATTGAATCTCGCTTCGTCTTTGTGAAATCGGTTCTAAATTTCTTGCATTTTGTCTATATATCCATGTAAGAAAAATAAAAAGGGGGGAGAAAAGATAAATTGTAATTTAAATTAGCAGCATAAATTAATTTCCCCTTTATATTCTAAAACTAGTAATCTCCCTTTGCACTGCGTCATTTCAAGACTAAACCATGTAATATGACTCTTATATAACTCTGCTGTAAATAGACAGTGATAATTTTACATCAGTATTAATTATCTAATCAAAATACATTGAAAACCAAAACTAACTCTTTGAATTACATTTTCAGCTTGAACATAAGGCAACTGGTTGTTACTCTTTTGCCTGGCTTGAGTGCTGTCTGCTACTTCCTTCTTACCGTAAAGCTATCAAAAATGTAAACTTTTTGAAATAGGCAGAAATAATGTACCATGTTTTTTGTGTTCACAATATGTTTATTAAAATAAAATTAAGACTTTATCTGCATCAGCTGCTACTTTCATATTCATTGTGCAGCGGCATTTTTAACATTTTATGCCATCAAAATTCTTACTCTTCATTATGGATGCAACATTTCTATGTTCTACACCATCATGATTGCAAAGTACTTTTCTTTATTACATATGTATAATATTCAGAAACTAAATCTCTATTTCGCTGTTAATAAAAAATCCACTTAGACTAAAAAAATTTTGGCTGATCTTTAGAATATGGTAACTGGTAGTTTGGCGACATTTTGGAGGCGATAAAGGTTACTACCTGGGACTTTGGTAATAATTTCAGCAGTACTCAGTTCCGATTACGCATTATTTTGTGTGAGGAAAGTGAGAGATCATGGGCTATGTCATGTGATATTAATGGATGAATTACAGTTCTTTAATTGGAAAAGGGGGGAATTTGGAAAAATATCTGTGGCTGTATATTATTTTGTATTAAGCTTCATTGTGTGTTGTGTGAAGTAGGGTTGAATAATTTTGGGATTGTATGGCGCTGTCTAAAGTGAATTCTAGATGTGATAAAAAGAATTTTGCTTTTTATTTAGCGAAGGAAGTGTGGAGGAAAAATTCGCAGAAAAAATCGTTCAATAATTTTATTGAATCCATAATAAAAGTGTATCCACCATGTAAGCAAGATTCTGAAGAAGATTAGGTAGGTTAGTATTTTTAATTATTTGAGGATATTATTTTTATGCATTGTTGTTCTAAATGTAAGGTGGAAGTAAAGTAATTTGGTATGATTGGGAAAATTGTTATTAGCAACAATTTAAAGTAATTAGGATTGTAAGCTGATTTTTATTAATTTAATGTATGTGCTTATTTATATTTTTAAGTAGTGTTTTTGAATTTAATTAGATTTTAGTTAAATGATAGTTATTTTGTGAATTTTATGTTTGTAGGAATTTGGTATACGTTTTAGTTGAAGTAAACGTGCATGGAAATAATTTAAATATTTGACACTAAGTATTTGTAATGTTTGCGGTATGAATTCGTTGGTGACGTTTATAATATAATAGATAATTTAGAGGTAAAAGTTTTTGGATATTTTATTTATTTTATATGTGGAAATGTTCATATTTGGAAAGGGTATATCCTTTTTCGTTATTAGGTAATTTCATATATGTTCTTTTTAACGGGTGAAGTAAACGTGCATGGAAATAATTTAAATATTTGACACTAAGTATTTGTAATGTTTGCGGTATGAATTCGTTGGTGACGTTTATAATATAATAGATGATTTAGAGGTAAAAGCTTTTGGATATTTTATTTATTTTATATGTGGAAATGTTCATATTTGGAAAGGGTATATACTTTTTCGCGATCAGGTAATTTCATATATGTTCTTTTTACCGGGTTTAAAGATTCAGAAAATTGTCATGTATTTTCGTGAAATTTTTCTAATTTATGAGAAAAAAGCAGTGTACATGGATATAGTGAAGAGTGTGCGCAATGCCATTTTTGTGTAATTCTGGGATGTTTTTTTAAGTAAAAATAAGGTGACGTGTACATGGTTTATGTGTATGTGTTATTTTGAAAAACGCGTAAGGAGTATGGTATTGTGCATTTTTTCCCAATTTTGCAGTGAATATTTGTCATGATTAAGCAGTTTTGTTAGATAAAATTTCTAGCATGAGTGTAATTCGGCTAGTAGATTGTTGGAAGAAGTGTTCAGTTGATAAAAAGAAAAGAAACATGTCTTTACTTCGTGAAGACAAAATGGCGGCGGGGAAAAAAAAAAAAATAGAGGGTTGCTGTAGGAGAGTTGGTCGCCAAAAAATCGCCAGGTTACCATAATCTAAAAATCAACCAAAATTTTTTATTTATATCTGATAGGTACAACTGTCTTCTATTTTTCAACATAGCACCATGTACATTGAAGTACTTGTCATAGCATTTTATTAATTTAACCATTCCTTTCTGCACAAAATTCGGCTGCCTTTGACTTCAACCATCTCGTCACAGCAGTTTGAAGCTCCTCATCGTCAGCGAAGTGCTGTGTCCCAAGCCACTTCTTCATTGTAGGGAACAGCTCATAATCAGAAGGAATTAACTCTAGGCTGAAGGGGAGATGTTGTAACATGTCCAATTTGAATTGGTGTGAAAAATCTTGTGTTCAAGAGAACAATCCCAGATGTCGGCAGGTCATGACGTTTGTTCTGGATGGCTCTTTTCAGTTTTCTCAAAGTGAAACTGTACACTTCAGAATTAATTACCATACCACGTTCCAGAAATCTGACAAGCAAGATTCCTTTAGCTTCCCAAAACAAGGTGGCTGTAACCTTCATCACTGACAATGTTCAGTGGGCTTTCCTCAGCCAGGTTTTAGAAACAGTATGACTTCCATGCCATTGCCTGTTATTTTGTCTCAAGATTCACATACGCTACCCAAGTCTCTGTTCACATTGGAGCAAACGCACACTTTGCCTTGTTAAATGAATCGCAGGACTAATCTTTATTTCATAAACTTAAAATAAAAAACTAGGCTGTAACAGTAGCCTTTACATTAAAAACAATAAAAGAGAAAACAAAGCCAGCGAATTCTCTTGCATTCACCATTTCTGCATATATAACACATTGTCCAGCTTGCCAATACTACCTCATCGGCCAATCAGCGGCAACCACGTTAGTTTATTGCCGATTCACCTCTGAATTAATTTTCAAAGTGCGCCAATACGTAAATTGACATATATCCTAGGAAATTTTGAATAAAAAAACTCTAATTTTTTTTACAGATATGCTTAGAAATACATCTACTTTAAGATGATACTACTTTTAAGATGATAAAAATTTTATAGGTTATAATTCAAAACTTTGAAAAAATTATAAAAATTATTTTAAAATACAAATTTTAAAATAAATCTTTAAAAATTATATTTGGATTAAGCCTAAATTTCGAATTCTGGAAGAAGGAATCAAGTAAATTTAATAAATAAAAAAAGGGTAATAAATGTATATCAAATTCAATTAACACTGAGGAGCCAAAATTTTGAGAGCTAATTTTTTAAAAACTACTTGCATGATTTTTACAAAACTTGGTAATTTGGCATAATTTTAGTCGTAAAATCGAAATATGTGAAAACGTTGGCATGTTATTTCTGAAAAAGCCCGATTTTGTGCGAGAATACCTATATTGGGCAGTGCTATATATAAATCTAATATATATCCTAAGTCGAGCTTTCAAGACGTGAAAAACGCAATTTGAATTTCGTCAATCGGCCCAGTAGAACAGAAGATATAGAACTCCCCCCCCCCACATCTACATGATTTAGAGAAACTTTAAATACTTTAATGCCTGGAAATTCTGTAGAATATGAGTCTTTAAATTTTGGGTTTGATAATTTTAGCATTTTATTCTGATATGGCATTATTTATGTTCTAGTTTAATCACAACTCTCTAGAAACGTGTTGTGTTTTGTCAAATATAACTGAATGGGAACTGACAAGAAATTAGCAAAACATGTAATACGTAATGTCATGAGCATTCCGATAATCATCGGAAAAATAAGTTGGTTCTGTTTTGTATACAGTTTCCCTTGTACTTTTTGGTAAAGTCTAGCTTTCTGTATCTCGTGGTTTTTAAGCAATGTCTTAAAAACTATGGAGAATTCATGCTAATGTAGTCTATGCTAGTACATGAATGTTTTACTGATTTTCATTTGTAGCAAATAGATATTTTATGAAAAGTCGGTGATAATAATAAATAATATATGTGTTCTTAAAAAAAATAGTCTGTCTTCTTTGTCATATTTAGGCAATCCTACATAAAACTATACCTTGTTTTAAAAAAAAATGGCAAATGTTTTAGAACCTGATTCAAGTTAAGTTTTTAAAATGAATGTCTTTGTATCATTATTCCTAGATGACTATGAAGATATTCTTCCTAAGTGTGAAAGGATTCAGAAAGCTGATATAGATATTTTATTTTCGATACATCCTTTTTACAGTGAACCGGACACTGATAGATCACCATCTCCTCCTCCAGCAATAGATTTCAAAGGTATTTTAAGCTATGTTTAAAATTTTTTTTAATTTTAGTATTTTGCGTAAAATACCATTAAGAAAGTAAATGTTCAGTTGTATATTAAAACGCACTACCTGCGAAAATTTAAAAGTTTTCAGGTAAAATTATTTGTTTTGTTGATATTAAATGCAAAAAATTGAATCAATCTAATCATTACAACATGTATGTTTTGTAGTTTTTGAAGGCAGCCATATTTTTATAATATTAGAGATATTATATGGAACTAAAATTTTAAACCAGATATTCAGGTAGCAGAAGTTAAATATTTGGGTAGCATCACAAGCTGTAATTGCTTACTCGGGCTTAAGATGTGAGGCAGATGTCTTGTATTTGTATTTCCATGTCTTGTATTTGTGTAAATATGATTTCCCCCCCTGTATGCATGCTGTGTCTGTGTATCAACTGACATCACATTCTACCCAATCTTTCATGGTATCGCATTTTCTATGCTGGACAATGTATTTTTCAGACGTGGCCAAACTGTGGCATGCATATACTACTTGATTATCCTTTGCCGTCTGAAACGCGACTCGTTTTGATTAAAATGATTTAATTTTTCAATATAAATTGAATTTGAAATAGAAATTATGTAGTGCCTTGTTTCTTTGTTAATCACTAATTTAATTTCTAATATTATGTATATAAAAATTTGATAGATTTCAAACTGTCCACTGCTGCTGGCTTATCGTTAGAGCAATAAATACATAAAATTATGAATAATTCCATTTCTGGTAGTAATTATTATTTCAGTTATGTTACTTTTTGAACAAGTAATGGTCATCGGAATACGCTAATACAAGGTTAATTTAAAATTCATTGCTAATTTTTTTATTTATTCTCCTTAATTTTTTTCTCTCCAGTTAATTTTACTTCAGGCAGTATCTATTTACATTCCTGCGTGATCCCATTGTTCACAACAGTTGTGATCCACATGGAAGATTTGTTGTTCGTTGTAGAGTACTACTTTTATTCAGTCCTTGAATGGCATGAGTTATTGCTGAGGAAACCTGTTTCACCTCTCAATTCATATAGAGCTCTTTTAATCTAGGGAAGAATTTTAGGAGGATTTTATTTTTAGTGGTGTAAACATTCAGCTTTATACTTGGTTAGGATACTTATCTCAATTTTCTGCAGAACTTCAAAATTAATTTCCTATCCCTGATCAAGTCGGGCATCTTTATGCAATTGTTTCACAACCATTTGCAATAATATGCTTAATGAATACATTTTCCACATGAAACTCTATCTTTCATAATCGTAGACAGAGATCATAATTTATTTCACCAATGGTTGTGTATGCTGAAATATTTGGAGTTGTGGGAAGAATCACTGGTTTGACAACGATTTAAATTTTAGTCAATATGCTCATATCTTTCACCTTAATCATCAAATTTTCAAATCAATAACATTGCATCAAGCAATGAGGGACACAAACATATCTCTTCTTCAAAGTTTCTGCCAAAATCGGCATATCGATATTGGTGAAATCTCTTCAGCTAGTGATATCTTCTCGTATTTTTCAATTTCTTCTTTGGTCGCCTTCTTTCTTTCTACCTCGTAATAGGTTAAGGGCATTTTGCTGCACGAGGTTAGTCACCGATGGATATTGCACTAGGTTAGAAGTATTTTGCTGCCTGGCATATATAAAATTTTTCAAATCTTAGTACTGATGTTCTGCAACTGCACATGTTACCATTATTCAGGCAATATCGTAAAATTTTGCTCCCATAAACATTTGTTTTAATCCAAGTCTGATCTTTTATTTTCTAAAGTATCCTCTGCCTACAAACCTCACTTCAAGCTCCATTTGAGATTTATTTTCTGTACATAGCTTAGGTAACAAAAACGGAAAGTTTTAAGAGTTCATGTTATACCTGCATTTGCGAAATAAATTCATTATAGTAGTGAGATTTGTGTTTTCTTTCTACAACATTAGTTTTGATTTGCCATGTCTGAAAAACAGCTCAAAATTAAACAGCTAGGTTAAAGAGTTCGACAGATTGGGGGGTGGAATATGTGCTCGACGAAGCATTTATATAGCTCGACATGAACTACTAAATTTATTAGCAATAGGTTATGTATGCCCGGAATTATCGTAACATTTCCTTTGGAAAAAAATAGGTCAAGGTCCCATTGCATTTTATAAAATTTTGAATAAAATGTATTCAGATTTGGTTATATTTTCTTTGCTTATTATCTGTAGTTAAGTTTTAATGAGTTATCATTTTAGAAATAATTTTGTTCCGATATTTTCTTTGAGAAGTATTGCTTTGAAAAACTTTCTTTTCCCCTTTTCAAGAGAACTGATCATTTTCTTTTAGATTTATTTACAGATTTGCTTCCATCTCCTGTAATGGAAAGTTCTTTATACAGTGACATGATCATAAAGATTCCTGAGCTTGATAATCCATTTTTAAATTTAGATGTTGAATAAGATTTGTCAAAATTTCTGTAATACAATTTTTAGATGTATGCAAATGAAATTAGTATCAAAAAATTCTATTATAAATTGGGACATGACTGTTAACTCTGCCACTTGTAAAAATTTACTAGTATTGCTGCCATTTGGAATGTATTTGTATTGAAATTTTAAAACTGCAATTAGTTTTATAAAGTAATACTCAAAATTTTAAAATATATTTGATTTCATGCATTTTATTTTGGATTATATGTTTGTCTAAAATTTGTAAATTAAGTTGAAAAGGAAGTATTTGTAGTTGTAAACTGTAAATATTGATAGCATTGTATGATTTAAATAAAGTGTAATTTTAATAAAAATGCCCTTTTTTCCCCTTTTTTGAATTAAATTTTATGCTCAAAGCTATTGTTGCATGCCACAAGGTTAAGATGTGATTAAATAATTGGGCTAGGTAGATAATTCTATTTAAACTGGTGATAAGTTTTTGCATATTTATAATAAATTTCTCCATAACTTAGAAATAATGTTATAAATCATAAAATCTCTCACCATGCAAATTCCAAACAGTAAACTCTATAGCAGAGGTTCTCAACTGAGGGGGGGGGGGAATTCAGTCAGCATTTTTCTGTGTTATATGTTTAATTTTAATTTATGAATATAAAAAAACTTTTTTAAGATTTAGTATTCAATATTGTCTATACTTGTTGTTTAATTCATAAAACATGTTAATAATTTAAATCTAAATAAATGTATATATGTATTCTTCAAGTTTTGGAAAGGAGGGGAGAATGAACTTCTAAGCAATGGTGAAACAGTCTAAGAACACTGCTGTATAAACTATAATAAATTAAGTCTTGATTCTCAATGAAATACTAAAAAAAGCAGTTTTAAGGTTTTATGGATGTTATGAGGCATAGAAGGCATTATAGGACTTTCTATAAAAACTGATGCTGCGACTTCAAAAACACATTTACTGGAAACTCAAATATTGCTCCTTTGAAGACAAAATTTCTGTTTAAGGCTCAATATGCAGTCTTCAGCAATGTTTTTCAACTGTGTTAACAACTTCAGTGTCATTTAACTTGGAATTGAAATCTGTACTCAGCAATACAAAACTTGAGTGCACATAAACACATAAGTGACAAATAAAAAAAAATTTTTAATTGCACAATAAACTCGAAAATATAAAAAATGAACAGTAAACCAAATCATAAATAAATGCATAAATTTATGAGTATATTTATTGTGGAATTGTTAATGTTCTTTGTAAAATTTGCTCTTAAAATGGGAAAGCAGCTGTTTTTTCTCTTAAAAAAATCACTGAATTTATTTGATATCTAGCTTTTTAATGGTATTCAGACTGATGTGAAATTCTTGCATCTATTATCAGCCACACATGTTTGAATTACAAAAATAATAAATGTTGGAATCTATGTCTGTAAATGTCTTGAGTTGTTTAAGATAACTAAATTTGGAAGAAGTTGTTAATGAAAATTTTCTTAAATTATTGTGAATGTAACAAGCCATCATCATTCGTTTTCCCTGCATCCAGATTTGTTAATTTTAGAACAGTTAACTATGTTGTCTTGCTATTCTATTTACAGAGTTTGTTCACACATTTTTGTAACGATTTTGCTAAGATTTATATTTAAACAAACCTTAGAATTTAATTTTGTAATATGTTCAGTCTGATAGCCCTTTAGTTGAACTATCATAATGCATCTTGATTTGCAAAGTAAAAGTTTTTTCTTAAAACATCGAGGTTGATTTTATTCCACTCCTTCACAATCTTCCAGAGTCCATCCAAATGTTTTGGGGATACCACTTATAAAGAGCTTGTTTTAAAAGTCCATATGTATAGTAATCCACAGGAGACTCATCAGGGGGCTGGGATGCATTTAAAGGGTATATTCAACTCTGGTTTCATTTCTCATTTTTTTAAAATGTAGAGCAATGGATTTAGAGGTATGGCTTGGAGCCTTATCCTGATGAAACTTAACATAGTGAGAATTGTTTGGATAAAGAGATGGAATTTCTTCTTTAAAAGTAGATGTTAACACTTATTTCTGATAGTAATCCAAATTAATTTTGACATTTTTTCTACTTTCCTTATTTTAAGTTTTCCGTTATAAGAGAATCGAGTAATAACCATAAAACCTTTAGAAAAACTTCCCTTGTTTTCTCTGAACCAACATATTAAATCTTTTCCTTCTCTTTTTCAGTAGTAAATCAATCTTTTGCTATTGCAAAGTGTCTCCCAGCTTCATCAGTTGTAACTATATATTTCTATTTTTCACCTGCCAAATATTTTTTATGCAGCAATGTGCACATAGTCTTACACTAAGAAACATGTTTTTGGCTTTAGATGATGAACATCATGTTTTTATTTTAATTAGCTTTAAATCGGATTTTATAATTTTGTTCACAATTTAAAGATTTTGCAATAGCTCTTTGGAGGGCTGGTTTTTCCTTTAAAACATGAGATGCTGCTTTAAGAAGAGCTATATGTACCTTTGTTGGGTATGCATTTTTTGTCTTTTTCCCCAGTCTGATATAAACTTTGACATTTCTTTCCTTTCGTATTAATTATATCGCTTATTGTAGGTGTAGAAATATTAAAACCATGCATTTTAAGTCTTTTTTAATAATTGAATAAGAATATTTCTTTTCAGACAGTGTAAAAATACAGCCTTCGATCCATGGTTTATTTTTCAGCAACATTTTAAAGAAAACCTTCTTAATGCTGCAGACAGTAATTAAATCTTATTCCAATTTGAAGCCAGCCGTGTTTGCCTTTTAAAATTAAATTAATAAAAATTTAAATCATTACACAAAATGTGTGAACTTCCTCTTTATGTAGTATTCAGAATCAAGTTTCGCTGAAGTACGATTCAGACACTAAATCAACCTGACCCATATTTTGGTAAACTCATTTCTGTTGTGCTGACTGCTAAATAACATTGACTGAGAGTAGTAAGAAAGTGCTTACAACAGTAGGAAGCATAACTGCTTTTGTATGTTCAAAATGCACATATTGTGAAATGGTACAGTTAAATATAAATTGGTTTGTAGGATAGATAGTTGCAGTTGAAAGGGAGCAAGAAATTTCATTTGTTTTTCTACCTTCACACAGCAAACCCACAAAAAAAAAAAAAAAAAAAAAAAAATAGTAGATCGTACTCAAAATGGACTTATTACTTCATGGCTGCAGATATTGCGTGTAATCATAGGAAAAAGTGATTGTTGTCGTTTAAATAAGATGCTGAGCATTGATTCATAAAACATAACGTTCATATAGCCCCATAACAGGACTGTCTATTAGTAATGGACTCATCAAGTAATAAGTCTCGCAATGGGAGAATAGGATGCCTTTGACTGTTGTAAAGATTGTGCAAAAATAATCCAAAAAAATTTTTTTATTATTCTTTATTAGAAGCAAAAAGTCTTGGCGACTTTTGCATCACGCCTGCTGGAGGGCACACGATTTCAATCAATCTCTTAAGGCCAGTTTATACTAGAGGATCTTGGAGCCCAATAAATGTGCACAAACTTACGACTCCTCTAAAAGGGGAGAAAAAGGCCCATCACCCTTTTCGAAATAAAAATGAATTTTTACGCATTAACAGAATGCAATAAACAGCCTCAGGCAGTGGTGTTTTAACTGTGGGATCACAAGGTGGATAATAATCCTAAAAATCCTTGGGGGGGTATATGACTGACTGGGGCCGCAATTCCATAAAATTTGAGTGCAACAAGCCTTGGTGATAGTGTTATTCACAATTTTAAGAGTGGAATATTTCTTCAATACATGAAACTAATTCCATTAAAATGCGGTCAAATTTGCACGTTTCTTGGTCATCTTTGACCTTTAGTGTAAACGGGCTTTACATGTCAGGAATTACAGGATTGAACATGAAGAATTTTGATCAATAAGAAGAACTGAATTTCGACTATACAATGCAAGTCTCTTCCACTAGTAGAGTGGTATGTGCACCAGAGTGCTCAGGTGACAAGACCTCACCCCTAATAGAAAATAACTTTCGTAAATACATACAGATCAATAAATTAAATAAAATTTTTAACTACAAATAAGAGTAACTTTTTTCCTTCAATAAAAATGATGAAGTAGCATTTTAAAAGAAAACTTGTAAACGCAAGTCAAATTTGATTCCATCAGTCATGTCAATAAGTATGAAAGTTGTCACGCTAGTGACTTGATGCCGTAAAACTAAGAATACGACACGAGCCAAGGCTATATTTGGCTGCTTTTAAGAAGAGTAGATACAAAAGAAACACTAGCATAAGCGAAGAAAAGATGCAGGAGGTACAAAATGCAACATTAACACTTAAAAACAAAGTGCAAAATAAATGATAATTGCAATACTTGAATGTTGAGAATTGCCGTAGGCCGCTTCCTAAGCAAGGGTCTTTAAAGTCACACTTTCTACCTTAGATCCAATCTCGTAGTTGTTTTGTGATAGGTGTTCGACTGTGTTACTACATCAGAAATGAACAAGATTTAGAATTGATCAAGATGATTATTGGGAAAATCCATACATTCAACTTTTGAAAAGAAAACAATCCTTTTTGATAGTTTAGTTCTGCCTACCAGGAATTTCAAGAGGAACCATGCTATAAACTTTGGTTTTAGAAATTGTATGTTGCTAATCCACCTCTCAGTCCTATGCAAAGTCTCAGTTTTGAGAGTTTGGATCGATGGACATATACGAAGGTTTGCTTTCCAGGAAATTTCACTATGCTATTACATAGTAACGCTCGTCTGAGTAATACGTATCTTAATGTTTCTGCAACTACGTAGTCAGCAAGAACTCGTACTAAGTAATCAGCTGGAATTGTAGTACTGATGTTGGATTCAAATGTTAAGGTATATCAAGGAAAGTTTAAATTTCTGAACAGAATTCAAAATCCTTTAATCTTGTCAGCCGTTTAGAGCAAGTAGTGAATGTAAAAAAAAAAAAAAAAAAAAAAAAAAAAAAAAAAACTCTTTTGTTTAAATAAAATTGATACCTTCCATATTCGTTCTTGAAAAGAAAGCTGGAAGACATTTTTTTTACTGAACTAAAAGAATGAGTTTTTTTCAATAACAGACAAGTATCGGTTCAAGAATCGGGAGAGGGCACATACAGTTATGTAGCTATTGTAACAGGGTTGCCACGCTACCTGGAAAACCGGGAAAAGTCGGGGAATTCGAAAATTGACCAAAAAATTCAGGGAAAAGTCAGGAAATTTAAGTATTTTTGTCAAAATCTGGAAAAATCAGGGAAGTTCATACAATGATCCCGCCAAAAAAAGCGATTTTTGCGCCGACGTCGGAAGAGAACTTTTTTGGCGAATTGCCTATCACGTGAGTGTCTG